CAATATACTGTGCCGAAATTACTGAATCTATACGATTACAAGAATTTTAAAGTTTAAAGTTATGAAAAATAACAAAGGAATTGTAATACTATATACATCTAAAAAATGATTTTAAAATGTTTATTCTTTTACTTTCAGGAGGTGTCCATTGCGAGCGCAATACAAAGTAAGTGACTTTAAGAATATGTATACGAATAGGAAAAGTGACAAAGTTTTTTAAACAGTCATATTCATTAACTATTTAAATTCTTTATCACTTCGCCTAGGGGTGGGTTGTAGATTTCAGCAAGTACAGTACTGTTGTAATATTATTTTTGTGTTAAAGTATGTTAAAGTGGTAAGTGCAAGTTTACATAATTCATGCATAATCAAATCGATATTTCATACAATTAGGATTTAAGTGTGCCTACAGGATTCACACAAAAAGGAGGTAGAAGAATAAGCTGTACCTACATTAGAAGAATACAGTGAATTCAATTTTGTTTCCTTTTTCAGAAAACAATGTGAGTATAATATTTTTTTTATGTTTCAGACATAGTGGCCACCTTTACAAGAATTAAAATTTTTGTGTAACGACTTTTGCGACAATTTAGTTTAAAAAAGGTTTTTTAAAGAAAATAATTCAAAATAAATTAAAAAATGTAAATAATTCTATATTTTATTGTGCACCCTATGATTATTTTTATGCTGTAATATTAACATTTATTAAAGTAAAAATTTCCTTCAGAAAAAAATTAAAATAGTTAAGCAACTAATTTTTGAAAAATCAGTGGCTGCCATGTAAAATTGTTTATTATCTTATACTTGAGTAGTTGAAGAATGCATATTATACTATTTTTGTGAACTTCCTTTGATTTTGGTTTCACTTTCTGAATAACAAACAAAGTGTAAGTAATAAATAAATCTCTTTTTTGTTTCAAGTTGATCTGATATGGAGTAATTTTGGTTCCCTAAAAACGCAGAAACCAGAACATTGGGCCACTGCAGCGATCATTGTGCGACAAATACAGACTGAGAAGAGCTTGGAGAGAATTCGCTGGAACAAAGGTAAGATGCATGTTTTCTACTAAGCATGCAAAAACTGTACTTGCTGAAATTTGCTGTTTTTGGGTAGAAGGGAAGGCTTATTATTTATAAGTTTACGTGTATTACAAACACACTACTTACAATAACACGTGCGTCGATTGTGAAATGTATGCGAAGTTGAATATGTGAAATGTGTATAGTGTTCTACAAGATAACAGTAAAATGGTGTAACGTTTGGACTGGATTATAATTTTTTGTACGTTGTTAATAAATTGTATTATATATTTTTAATAAATTCATATTTACTTTTATGGGTGAAACATATTGTACACATTAGTACACCAACTTGAAATTCCCAGAAGTAAAAGATAGAAAACACACAAATTGATGTATCAATAAGCAGAACTTTCAGAGGTTTCATGAGACGAAAAACACGTACCTATTGCTTTTTAATAACTTCAAATATTCTACATTGAAAATTAAGTGGCTTTTTTTACAGCAGGAATTTTCAAAAGAAAAATTGCCTTTAATTAACGAATAGGGAGTCGTCACTTAGATTATCATCTTTTTGGACCCCTCCCTTCCCTTCGCCATACTAAGTTACACTTTCAGCTACTCCCCCTAACTCACAAAAGCTAGTCCACCACCATCCCCTATATAAGATTTCTTGTGATTAAAAATAGCAATGAAAACGACTTTATATCGTGGTGAAAGAAATCTTAAGAACCGCCAAGTTAAAAAAAATCATTAAAATAAAATTGATGAACTGCAAATGTCACATTTATTTAGACCCTCCCGCCCCTTGTCATATCTCGTCAAGCTAAGCAATATCCCTCCCTCCCCCTTATTTACGAACGTGTTTTATGAACGACTTCTAGGACATCACTTAAATAACTTAAAGGCTTCAGAATACTATCTACTTAATTAGACTAAAGATGCACCAGATGGTGTTTTAGCACAGATGGATATCCGCTACCGCATCACTGTAAAAAATTGTCATTTGATTTTTAATGAAAAAATCTTGAAGTTATTAACAACTTGGTACAAGAAATATNACGTGTATTACAAACACACTACTTACAATAACACGTGCGTCGATTGTGAAATGTATGCGAAGTTGAATATGTGAAATGTGTATAGTGTTCTACAAGATAACAGTAAAATGGTGTAACGTTTGGACTGGATTATAATTTTTTGTACGTTGTTAATAAATTGTATTATATTAAAATAGACACATTATTAAGTATTTAGAGTAATATATTTATTATTGTAGATGGCAATTACTCAATAAAGGATTCCAGGCAACGTTTAGGAATAGAGACACTTCTACTGCCGAAACTCCCTAATTTAATACGTTTTAGCCTTAATTAGGTAACATTCAACCTGACTTATTCATGCAATATTTTCTTAATTGATTAGGAACATTCAATGTGGAATATGTCTACAAATTTTAATCTATTTAACCAACTGTTGCTATATTCTTATAGCGTAAACTCCCCTCTTTACACCTTTGGGAGTGGTATTTTGAAAACTCATTTGATAGTGATCAATACAATAAACTTTGAACCCCTGTAGGGGTTGAATTTTACAAAATCCTTTTATAATGCTCCCTTTCTCGTTGTATAAGGAACGTGTGTGTGTGTAATTTCTAGCCTCTGTGCATGGTTTAATCAAGCTTAGAACTAATAGAATAGAATTAATAGATGTATCACGGCTCACGCATGCGCAACTAAAATGCGCGCCAAAAGAGTTATGTATTTTAATGAAGTACTACTTGTAAATATTTTCTACACATGGGTATTTATTTCAACCTGAGCATTTATGGATTTGCAAAAATGCTTATGGATTTGTTACGTTTATATACACGTTAGGCTTTACAATGTACGGTAAACTTTTGATCGATGATTTATCGAGATTGACTATGGTGTGTTAATGAGGACTAACAAGTCCGAAATCACGATCTACGTCTAGTAGTTTCGACAAATTACTTACTAAAAGCTAAATGTAGTATAATGTTTTTTGTATATTTCTGTTCATACACAGAACGACTAACATCCATCCAGTTGCAAAATGTTGTGGATTTATTAAAGTAAAAATGAAGTTGTTACAAAAGTATGGTCATAAATACAGTTTGATTAAAACTAAAAGCTATTCTCCTTGTCATAAAATGTAGGACAATTAAAAATCAAACCTCAAGTTATCTTTTGTTACGTTATATTATGAAAAATAACTAAAATCATTCTGTAGAAAAGGGGTTATTACCTAAAATAAAATATAAAACATTTATACAGCGTAAAAATAGTTTGCATATGAAAAAAGTAACTACATTTCAAATAACATTCTGAGATCATTCAAAGAAAGTTTATTTTGATTTGTTTTGGCACCAGTTAACACATTTTCTGCCATGTCCATTTTTTTGTCCTGTAATCCTTTAATTCTTTCTTCTATCGAGTCTACAACCATAAACCTAGAAAATAATATCTATAAATCCCTGTTTCTAAATAATAACGTCTATATGAGGGAAAGATTGATCAAAAACAAAAATTATTTGTTACAGTACTTACAAAATAAACATACAAACAAATACATTCAATATAATCTACAAACTTACTTGTATATGTTCACTGATTTCTTCTGCCCAACCCTGTAAATTCTGTCTTGAGCTTGTTGTTCAAGTTGAGGGTTCCAATGTAAATCGGTTAAGAGCAGGTGATTTGCTCCAACCAAATTAAGGCCTACCCCGCCAGCAGTCAAAGACAATAAAAGTACCTGTTAATTGAAAAGCGTATCAATATTTCATTAGAAAAGTAGTTTCAAATTTTGCGTACCCTTGTTTTGCTATAAGGGTCATTGAATTTTGTAACAACTTCTTGTCGTTTAAGCATAGGAAGGCTACCATCAAATTGATCAAAAACGATCCCATACTCCTTAAGGTGAATACCGAATAATTGAAGTAACGTAGGCCATTGTGAAACGACAACAGCTTTATCTCCAGTGGACATTATGTCCTTTAAACGGTTTAATATAGCATTTATCTGCAAGAGAATAAAGTTTTATTTATAAAACTTTTTATAACAAATAACAACAAACTTCATATAGAAAATAAATAAAGTCTCAAAATATTTGTTTAGGACAAACTCCCAAAATTTATTGCTTTTTTAATATGTTAAATTTTTTGGAAGTAGACATTTTATTTTTCCAACAATATCATATTTACAAAACTGTACATCTGGGTGAATTCTTTAAAAATTTTGACTTGCAAATTTCAGAGAAAGGGAGAATTGTATTTCTGTCATGCTGTCACAAATAGTTTACCAATTCGTTGAGACAATTCCTCATACAAATTATTAACATATAATTGCTTTGAGTGTTATTATTAACAGTATACAAGCTTATGTAATTGGGTTTATTTTCCTTACCTTACTGCTTTTCCTGTCCTTGGAAAAAACTGGATTAGAAGAACTAAGTATGCTTTTGGCAGCTTCTGCAAGTGGTACTTCTTCTTGATTAGTACTCAATCCTTCTGCCACATTTTGCTGTTCCTCTTGGTTATCTAACTCTTCATTTAAATTTAAATTCTGAAGCTTATCCAAAATGTTTAATTCTTCTAAACTTTCGTCTCCACTTAGACCGTCACATTCGTCTTCAGATAGCATCTAAGCACCCAAAATGATTACATTCGTATTAAAATTAATTTATAATTACGGAGTATTTAATTCATAAAAACAAATACAAACTAACTTACACCTTTAATTAATGAAGGATGACAACATATCTGTCTCAATCTTAATAAAAGAACCAAAATATCAGTTTGCTTGACTTCTTTAACATTCATGTGCACTTTTAACATTTTGTGCATTTTCATATACATATTTTCTTTGTTTGAGTTATCTAAAAAATAGAAAATCCAAAAACTACAATACACAAAATGTTTAAATTTACCTGTACTGGGTCCGTATGCTTCCATGGCACGATCGGCATTTTTGTACGCCTTTTGACATAAGAACTGGTGAAAAAGAGCTTTTGAAAATAACAGAATCTTTTGATACACATTCAGCTCCTCTTTATCGAAATTTACTGTTATTAAATCCCACTGTTTCTTAGGGAGACAGTCCAATGCACCTTTTTGATACAGCTGCTCTTTGGTTCGTCTTAGAAGCAAAGAAGCTATGACAGTATTGAGTCTTAGCTGCCCTCCACTATCCTTTCTATCTATCCACCTTTTCCAAACCTTGAATAAACAACATAATGTTTTGTATTAAAAAGTATGTAGTTGTACTCATTTTTAAAGATTAAATATCACAAAATAACAATGTAGCTCTGATAAAAATAAATACTTACCCCTAAATCATCAAAAGGACTACACCTAAGGAATTTTAATAGCGAATACAGATCCAATTCTTTGTTATGAACGGGGGTACCGGTTAAAGCCCACCTTGATTTAGCAGATAAATTGCAAACAGCCACCGATGACTGTGTTTTGTGATTCCGAATTTGATGCGCCTCGTCCAGTATAATACGCTTCCAACGAACGTTAAACAGAGGGCCGTTTTTATCTGAATCGGTTTTAACTAAACCATATGTTGTTATAACCATATCCTGCCTCGCCAACCTTAATTTATTTAAATTTATTAATTATTATGTTTTTAGAACTAAAAAGTCATACTTTAAACAATTAACTATATGGTTAATAAAAATGTTTCTGTTTTCAGTTATCATATATGTATACTATGTGTGTATGTTTCTTTTTGAAAGTAAAAAGTTATGATTATTAGAAAATAAGGTATCATTTAAAGTCGTGATAATTTGAACCAGTTTCTACCAATTAGATGCTGCAATTGTTACATTCCATGACAAGTAAATATTTAGTAGTGTTAAGTTCGAAATTAGCTAACCTTTTCGCTCTCTGTTCTCTATTAGTCCCATAATAAAGTTCAATACCAAGAATGTTTTTCTTTACATGTTTGGCTACTTCACCCTCCCACTGCTGTACTAAACTGGCAGGGCACACGACCAATGTTCCACCCTTATATTTGTAACCTCTTCGTTCACTATTTTCTTCATCTTCTGAATTGTTTCCATGGTTTTGATTCTCTTCTTCTTGTTCTTGTTTGTCTTTTAATATAAGGGAAATCATTGTTAATGTCTTGCCTAAACCCATATCATCAGCTGCAATAACAATAATTCTGATGAATTACCATTAATAGTTGCACTTACATCTATTTTATTAATATTTCAATTTTATCATAATGTAGTCAGTTATAATTATACTTACCTAAAATTCCTCCAGATGGTTTTTGCTTTTCTCTCCAAATTAGCCAAGCTAAAGCTCTTCTTTGATGGGGCATTAATTCTACTTTTAACTTTTTTGGAGGCTCAGCAAATATATTTTCATCAGGAGCAGTGTTCAAAGAGCCATGTAATTGTTGAAGACGATCCATTGTTAATGCTTTTTGTGAATTATACGTCTCTAGGGCTAAAAGATTTATGGTAAGACATTTTAAAGAACCAAAATGAACTTATCTGTATTTAAAATGATCTTTCATTTTACCTTGGCGTCCAAAAGTTTTTGGTTGAACTGCTACTGAACCTAGCTGAAGATCTTCCCAAGCCAAAGGGTTTGTAGATTTATCTTTAAATTCGAACAAGAAATTCCTTAATTAATTAAAATACAAATACATTACATTACAACACACATACCATTATTTACAGACATTTGGTTGAAAAGAGTTCGCTCCTTGTCTAATTCCTCTTTTAATTTTTTATGCCTATTTTTTAATAATTCGCCTTTATCTTGTAGATTTTCTAAATTAACAGCNTGTAAATTTCAGTTCTCTTCAATAAATTTTGTAAATTTTTTGTAAAACCGTTTGAATTTCTGTTATAGGCACATTAATATTTTGTAAAATCTTTTTTTAAATCCCTTAGAAATAAGAAAACAGTACTTGTACATAATTATACAACAGGTGTATAACACAATTCTAGTTTTTATCATTCATTTGAATGCTAGCTTTCTAGCATCTAATAAACATTTTAACTATTTATGAACAACTTTTAATTATCTGAAGCTCGTCATTTTTCACCCTTTCAATTTTAAATTAAATAGATAAGGTCGCGCATTTGATTGTAATTCAAAAAATAGATAGTTTAAGGAAAATAGCTGGGATTGTAGTTTATAAGCAGAGTCTATTTGATTCCTAATTTGACTAAATATTAACACCTCGCACGGGATCATTTGCAATATTTTTGACACAAATTTTCGTCATTACTCATAAACATTTCTTTTAAACGGTTTGTGATATACAATTTGTAAATTGTCTTACAGTAATCGCCAATCACGTGTACCATTGAATTTTACAATGTACATGATAATGCATCTAAGGTTACCATACCGAATGTTTGACAGTTTTGTCTTCTTTCTCTTGTCTTTTCAACGGCCAACAAACAATAATACGTGCTTCCCCCTTCCTAACATCCGCATCGTGTTCATGAAATTACTTCCGTAGTAATAGGTAATTCCATACCTAAATTCCTCTTCTCTGTCTTATAAAACATTTTTCTATAATAGTATTTTCAAGTATTAATCATTCAAAAAAGTGGTAGACAAACCACTGAACATGAGCAAACTTCAAGGATTTGTTTAAATTTTTAAAAAATGAAGATGCTTGGTGTTGATAAATAGTAGACTGATATTAATAAGTAACTAGTAATTACTGATACTTATCAATAATAAAAATGTACTTAGGTACTCATACTCAAATTTGCTAGATACAAACTTTAATCGAAATGGGGTTAAAATAAATGAAATAAAATTGATTAGTTATGTGTTACTAGTAGGAGATGACAAAAAAGCCTAATTAGCATGTATAAAACATTAAATATCTGTTTCAACCAATACTGTTAACCATTTAAAGATGTATTAGTAGTTCAGTTGATTTTATTGATTTAAATTATTCTCTACCGTATACTAAAAAAATTATAAATACAAAAAAGGACCAATAACTTGAAAGGTTTGAAATGAAAATAAATAAATAAAATTATCAATCAATTACCTACATTCAAAATTATTTTCTTCACTTACTTCATCACTGCTTACTTCAACAATATCATTTTCAGAAGCGTCAATAATATCCTGAGACACTTTTAATTTATTATCTTCGTTAAGTAAAGCTGTTGATTTCTCTGCAACTTCAGCACTTGTATTTTTGACACTTTTTTCTGGAGTTTGCATATTTGCACCTGCCTCTTCAGTTTGCGGGAGTACACTTGATCTTCCAATTGGATGAAGTTGACGGTGAAACAAACCATAGCTAATATCTTGGTCATTTTCAGAATCCGAAGTAATCACATTAACCTTTTTTTTTGTGGTTTTAATAAGTGTGCTCTCATTATAAGATTTATTGTCAGGCGTTACTGAAACTTTATAACCGTAAGGTTATAACAAAGTGATAAACTTTATAAATAATTAATATTGTTACCTTCTAAGCCATTATCACCTGATGATAATTCGTTACTAGTAACAGAAGAAGCAGAATTTGTATTTTCATCTTCAAACGAATCTAAAACCATTAAAACATACTAACATTACTTCAAATCGGCTTTAACCGATATAATAATTAATAACTACCTGAAAGAATAGTCTCAGAAGAAATGTCACTCATCTTAATTAATTGTACTTTTCTTTTATAAAAATAATACGATAAAAGGACCAAGAACCATGCAATCAAAAGTCCATAATTCAAATAAAATTTGCAAGTCGGAATCAGTCGGAATGATTAACGGAATGTTAACGGACATTTGAAATTTTGGGCCTTGGAGTACAGTATCCATTTAGTAAAAACATTTTTTGATGAGCAACCTTTCTGCTTTCGTGAAAATTTTAAAAATTTGAGGTTGAATTTTATTTAAAAAAACACATAAAACAAAAAAGCCCCTGATGGACATAGGGTTACTACAGATATTTTCAATGCATTTGTAATTGCACGGTTTCGAAAAGTATTTTCTGTTTTATTCGTTAAAAAAATACTGATGGTGATGGTTATTGTGACACCTTACTGACATCAACCATCAACTGCTATTATTACTATGAAGAATGGCTTCCAAGCAGCTGGAATTGGACGTTTTAGAAAATTGGGAAGAAATTGATGAGACTGATGTAATTACCTTACGATTTTCATACAAAATTACATGTACATAACTGTTTCTAATAATGAAATGCAAGTACGTAATTTTTAAAATACTTAACCCTTTTGACTTTCTTTAGGTGTTGGAACAAAAATTAAGAAACCTTTTACCTCCTAATAATGAGTTACAGAATAGAAGGTATGTTTGCCTTATCGGTAGCCTTTTACTGAGAAGATCTATTGTTTGCTTTATAGTTTTAAGTGCAATGGTAATGCAAATGGAACAACGGCAATAAGAATAACATTAACTGGGGAAGATGCCTTAAGATCTCAGTATGTGCCTCCAGAACCTACCGTAAAAATTTTGAAAAGGCCCAGTGAAGGTACTCATGTACAAAATGATTTTAAAATAGTTCAACCCAAAAAAACTTTACAACAGAGGGAACAGGAGTATGCAGAAGCTAGGCTTAGGATTTTAGGAGAGGCACGAATGTCTGATAAAACAGAAGAAAAGTATGCTTACATAAACACTTTACATTGGACATTGTTTCAATTAATTTACATTATTATTTTTAAGAGTAAGCACAATTCAAATTAAGCCTTCCAGATCTAATGAATTACCCAATGTAATTCGGTTACCAAAGGGACCAGATGGTACAAAAGGTTTCAAAATTCGGAGATAGCACACTATTTATACCATTATTTACAGACATTTGGTTGAAAAGAGTTCGCTCCTTGTCTAATTCCTCTTTTAATTTTTTATGCCTATTTTTTAATAATTCGCCTTTATCTTGTAGATTTTCTAAATTAACAGCTTTCATAGCTTTCTAAAAAGTAGTTTTGACATGAATATTGAAATATTTTTAAACAAAAATAATAACAAACTACTTGCCTCTGCTTTTAGAAAGTTTTGAAATAAGTCTTGCACCTTTTTTCCCTGTTCTCTGTACACTTCCGCAGAAACTACAGTTTCAAGTGTTTTGTCTTTTTTCAATGCCAATCTATCCAAATTATCGCTCACAGCATTTACATCATCATCGTCATTTCTTAAGACGATCGTTTGAAATTGATTATTTCCTAAACCATTCAAGTTTCTTTCTGTTTTCTTGTCAGTAGTGGTGTACTTTAATAATGTCGTTTGTTTTAAGACTTTAGGCGTACACACAAGTACTTCCTACCAATATGTAATTTATTAATAAATGTAATTTTGCTAGTCAGTTATTTTGTTGTTAATATATATAATTTGGCTCACAGACTAATTAATTAAATTTTATTTTTAAAAAATTAAATTTTATACCTCACAGAGTAAAACTACAAATCTTTTTTTAACTTATTGGAGGTCTTTTCTACATTCTGAAACAACTTTCCTAAGTCTTATTCGTATAGATGGTAGATAGTTTAAATATATATATATTAAAATGCCCTTTTATTCAAATTTTTGGAATGTTTTCATTTTAAAAATNATCCTGAATCAAAATTATAATTAACACAAATACATATTTTTGTCCCAATTTATCTTTATGATTCTTTATGCGAATAATAATTATAATAACAGCGTGTATTATTCATTTTACGAGATTTTAAATGGTAACTTTCAAAATGGGAAATTATGAGAGCCTAACACAAGTTTTGAAATGATTTATTGTATTATTTTTTAACAGTTCTTTTATATTCCAAAGGAATAATACACGTTCTTTCAATCAGTTTTTGTGTGAATTCTTTGGAAATATGAATACCTATCATGTAAAAATAGAATTGGATGTATTCAAATTTTTTGAAAATTTGATTTTCTGCATGTTCCTATTTAAACATAAGCTGATTTATTCACTAGTGCTGATTGCTATATTTTTTTAGAACATTGAACTGAACACCAAGTTAGTAGTTAGTATCACTGTTAGAAAATCAAAGTTAAAGTATATACAAATACTAAACACCTGTTCCACTTCGTTCTTGATGGATTTTACCCACAACGATCCTTGTCAAATGTTTATAAGTTAGTAGTCTCAGCAAATACGAAGAAAATGTAAGGCAGATTACAATGATTAAAAACTTATTTCTTAAAATTACTACATGTATATACACATTCGTTAGAATTATCCTTATTCTGAATATCTCTGTCATTCAAGTAAATACATACAAAAAAGTTGCAAATATTGTGTTCAAAATATAGAATTATTTCTTACAGTATTAAAAAAACTTAAATATAATTATTTCAACAGTACGCCATAAGTAAGCAATAAAACGAATTAAAAAAATATATATTTGTTGCTAGCAACAATTTTTTAATATAAGTACATCAACATTTTGCAAATGATATTGATACATTTAAATTTAAAAATAATCAAAATAAGGATTATCCTAATCTATACATCTATCTAATAATAATCAACAACCGCGAAAGGGAGTTTATCTTGTTTGAAACAATTTTAAACCAGTGAAATTGTATGATAAAAGTAATAACTACAAAATAAAATTAACATATATGCTATAGCTAAGTCTTTTAAATCTGACCACCGAGGGATAACCGCATTTAGTCAGTTATGGCAGTAATTCATGAAAATCCATTCTTTCGTTACAAATTGAATATTCGAGAAACATCTTTATACTTAAAATTAGAAAGTCTACAATTAATTAGTTAGTAGATAATGTTTTTATTTTAATAGAATTACAACTATACTATATCGAGCGTACAGTTCAAGTTTTTCTATGCACTGTCTTCTTTTTTGATAAAAATTATCGCCATTGCCGTATTAAACAAGACTAACTTCCTTCCCAACATGCTACACTGCGCGTCTCAGCAATATAAAATCTCTCTCTCTCTCTTTCTCTTTGTCTAGTTCACAGTAAAACGAAATTATAATAATAATCACAATAGAAATGAAATCAGCAGAGGTCAAAGAATTTTTGAATAACCACGTGCAGTGGTTGTACGCTATCAGGATATATCTTGATAGGCACCTGCACGTCTCTTTTACACTTCCACTCACGCATTAACTGCGTGTAATGAAGCATCGTTTCAATGTCGTGCAGTTCAGTGTAGACATTTATAAGTCCGCGATAATCGTATTCCAGTCCAGAATACGAATCTCCGAAGAGTCGTAGATTAATTTCTATAGAGCGTTTTGAAAGTTNTATACATCTATCTAATAATAATCAACAACCGCGAAAGGGAGTTTATCTTGTTTGAAACAATTTTAAACCAGTGAAATTGTATGATAAAAGTAATAACTACAAAATAAAATTAACATATATGCTATAGCTAAGTCTTTTAAATCTGACCACCGAGGGATAACCGCATTTAGTCAGTTATGGCAGTAATTCATGAAAATCCATTCTTTCGTTACAAATTGAATATTCGAGAAACATCTTTATACTTAAAATTAGAAAGTCTACAATTAATTAGTTAGTAGATAATGTTTTTATTTTAATAGAATTACAACTATACTATATCGAGCGTACAGTTCAAGTTTTTCTATGCACTGTCTTCTTTTTTGATAAAAATTATCGCCATTGCCGTATTAAACAAGACTAACTTCCTTCCCAACATGCTACACTGCGCGTCTCAGCAATATAAAATCTCTCTCTCTCTCTTTCTCTTTGTCTAGTTCACAGTAAAACGAAATTATAATAATAATCACAATAGAAATGAAATCAGCAGAGGTCAAAGAATTTTTGAATAACCACGTGCAGTGGTTGTACGCTATCAGGATATATCTTGATAGGCACCTGCACGTCTCTTTTACACTTCCACTCACGCATTAACTGCGTGTAATGAAGCATCGTTTCAATGTCGTGCAGTTCAGTGTAGACATTTATAAGTCCGCGATAATCGTATTCCAGTCCAGAATACGAATCTCCGAAGAGTCGTAGATTAATTTCTATAGAGCGTTTGTAAAGTTTTTCCGCGTCTCGGTGCCGTTTCATATGATAGTTGTATAAGGACGCGAGGTGACCTATACTAAGTGCCACCTAAAACAAGAACAATTACTATACTGCATTATTATTGCATTGTTACCATTAATTAATTAAAACACCACAAAACCACTATCCGTAGTTGTGCGGTAAGATTTCAAGGCCTGAAGGAAAAAGAACAGTATGTTTTTTTAAATTACGTTAACGTGGTTGAATTACAGGAGTTTCACTGTAAAATTATTATATTTGTTAATATTCTAAATTTGATCTTACCTCGTAGTCGTCGGGTCCTAGAAGTTCTTCTTTGATCGCGATTGCCCTTAAATGCATTTTTTCGGCTTCCTCATATTCCATCATACTTTGATACAACCTACCAAGGTTTCCGTAATGTTTTGCGGTTTGCACATTACGTTCACCGAAGGCGGCATGGGATAGGGCAAGGGCGGATTTGTGAAGCCTCTCGGACTCAGCAAGAAGCTCTTCTTGAGAACAAGGATTTGTCAAGTCGCGTAAATCCAGGGCAATCTCTTCAAGAATTAGGGCTTTTACTCTTTTCGCGGACGCGAGCATCAGATGATCTTTGGGTAATATACGTTCGAATATTTTAATAGCTGCCTCAATGTTTTCACTAAAATAAAAACAAATTAACAAATATCTACAGGTTGGTCCAAAAGTGTGTATGATTTGGGGTTTTGGATAGCAGAAGTTTTAATGAAAATATTTAAAACTATTTTTCAAAAAGGCGAATTTCCGCTTATATACGGGAAATTGATATAACTTCATTATTTTAAGTACAACAACCAATACATTGTAAATTTCTTCTTAAATTTTAATATTTGATATACATATTACCACACCGAATTCAAAGTCTTACATTAAAATTTCAAAGGAAAATAACACTTGCAGGGGTTTCAAAAATTGTTTATACAAGATCGAAAGTTACAGATTTGCTATTATATTCATAAAGGGTATCGTTTTGCTAATTTTTAATTTATTAAAGTCAAATTAAAAAAATAAGTCAATGTTGGTGCCTCAATAATAGGGTTGCAGATCTGTCTGGTTATAATTGATACTAAAGTAGTCTAAGTGGGGGAATTTCAGAGAAACCATTAAAGCTACCCCTACAACGTAGTATCAATCGAAATGACGTAATGAATAATGCAAAACTCGTTAATGTGGGTACACAATACCCCCAAAAGATAGTTTTGTGTTTTGTGAATACCAGTGTGAAACGAAATTTTCGAAGTATAAACAATTTCGAATAGTATTGCAATTTTTTTTCTAAAAATATCAAATAATGCCAAAACAGAAAACGTCGATCTCCATGTGTGCTACATAAACTAAAAAAAATTAAAAAGGAATTCGGGAACGAGAAATACATAAGTATTTAATATATTTGAAAGTTATAATAACCACTTCAAAATGTTTCTGAATGAGTAAAAACTGTACCAACGTCATAATTACTTATCCAAGTATGTACTAACGAACCACCTTTTAGATAGGATGTTATGTGATAATATAAGAATATTTAATATTACCTTGCTGCGTTAAATCGTCCGCTACTGTATTCGTTCACGTAAAGGGCGTAAGCGAGATCTTCGTAGCCGATGGCAACGTGAATATTATCGCTATCGAAAACATCCTTTCTTATTGATAACGCTTTCTCATAAACTTTAACACTTTGCTGTATGGAATCGAAATTTAACAAAAAAAAACCGTAGTCTATTAATGTGTCTGAATAGGACGGATGCTCATCAGTTTTATATAGTTTAGACGCAAGTGAAACGGCTTGTCTGATTAGGAGTCCAGCTTGATCAAAACGTCGCTTTACGACACACGATTTTGACGCCTGTCTTAGCACTTCCACTATGATCCTATTTAACATAAGAATTTAAATATTTTAGTGTAAAATTACATATTGGATACTAATTAAAGTTATTTACATTATACCAATTATTTGACTGAAAGATTGTACATAAAATTAAAAAAAATTAATTATAAAAAAGTTACAGAGTAACACGTTTTTAAATCCCAAATTAAACTAAACAAAATTTTAATTAGTGAAAAAGAAATAAGAAGCTGTACCAGGTACAAGTGAACTTTTGATAAAAATAATAAGCAGTGATAACATGATAAAAAATAGTATTTATTATTTCATTTTTCTTTGTTACATTTAGGTATTGAGTACTGACACCAGTTGGTTAGAAAATTCTTTCTTATCTGTTCTATTGTGGTTCATGGAATTCTTCCCCTTCAAAGTCTAAACTAAACGTTTCATTTTAGGAGACTTGACTGGGACTGTGCCATGACTGATGTCAGTTACAACTATTGATAAGTGCTTCAACAAAATGAAAAATCCCATAAACCACACCAGAATAGTACAAAAGAAGTTTACAACCAAAATATGTTTATTTGTCTGTAGCTCAATAAAGTAACGCTTAATTTCTGATTAGAGTCCTAAAGTTCAAGTAAATAAATAAAATAACCGATTTGGTTACCAAAAATTAAGATGTATTTACCTTGTTGGTAAATTGTCCTTAAGAAGTAATAGAGAATTTTTCGCCCAACTGTAAGCCTAAAAATTAAGCATTAAACGTAAAGTATTTTTAGTAATACAGTCATAAACATTGATAAAATTATAATAATAAAATTCTTTCTTTGGGCTAAGTATAAAATGAAATCATAACAATAGGATGTCAGTTTTAAACAAACACCTATCTGTACACAAAATTATCTTTACTGCAAAAACAAACACACTATAAATTAAGACTACTATTAAGTACATTTAGGTCATGTTAAATTGCTTGATGAAACAAAAGAATTAATTATTAGTCCTCGATTAATGTCAAGTCAATGTATTAGGTTTCAAATAAACAATAATTGCTATCACAATGACCAAGAATTTTTAGATAAGACTTGGCTAATGTAAATAATAATAAAATACAAATATCAATTTAAACAATATTTAATATTTCAAAGTTGGTGGTAAGAAACAAAAAAATAGACATTTTAACTTATGATGAATGAAAAAAAATCTAAAAGCTTATACTCACCTCATCATACTCACTTCTTACAAAAAATAATGCAGAAAATAGAGCATAAAGGCTAGACAAGTTTGGTAGAGCATTTAACTGTTTTAATTCTATAACAAGCAGGTTAGCTAAATTATATGTTTTCTCAGCTTCTTTGAACATGCAGAATGTAGCTTCTGCTTGTAAACGTCTGGAATCAAACTTGGTCTTTATCTATTACCATGGAAAATTAATATAGATATAATACATACTTTTGGTAACATTCTAATAATTTACATAAAACTTCAGTAGTTTGTTCCATTTGTCTACACATTTCTTCCACATAATCCAACACTTGAATTGCATAACTATACCATCCACCCTCATTAAAGAATGTTCCTAATTGTAATCCTAGTTCTATGGTCTTGAAATTTATTGTTTCTGGATGTAATTTAAGTTTTGCATAGCCCTTTATCAGTTCATACATGATATTAGAATCACGTTTTATTAATGATTGAAAACTTTTAAGAAGTTTAGTTCTATTGTGCTTAACCTTTAGCATTCGACTGAACACTTCCAATTCACTATATTCTAATCCTAACAACCACAATCCATCTTCAATGTACATCTAAAAGTACAAATTTATCCTCAGAATTTATTTAAAAATATCGGAGTTTATATAAGTATATTTTAATTTATCAAAAAATATACATTTGATTGGAGTTAAAATCGTACTGTATAATTGCATTATTTTTTGAAGACATTGAACTGATAATATTATATTACACTAAAAAATGATGTATTGTTTATAAATACCTTATAATAAAAATCAAACAAAACATTATTTGGCAAAATTCTGAAGTCCTTTTTGCAGAATTTGCATAACGTTAAGCAATCCACAACAGCAATATTTATGCACAAGTTGTAAAGGCTCTTAGGATTTTTTGTTTTAGACATTTTGAAATTTAACATAACAAAACCACTACGTTAAAAACACAAGCATAACAGGCAGATTGAAAATAAAAACGAATAACTATGAATGCAACAACAACCTAAACAGCTGACAGCTGATAAGATACCGCCCTCGCTGTCAAAAATTAACCATATTCAACTGACTTTTCCATAAATAACAGACTCGTCCATAATTTAATTGGATTTTTTTAGTTTGTAACATTACAATTAATAGCGGTTGTGTATAATAAGAGTTGGGAAAACAGAAAACAAATTTTGAATAAACACCATTAAAAATATTTAATTATTATTCTTTCACTACATGAATGTGATTTGTATTTTTTTAATTAGAATTACTTCTCATCGACTTAGCACTGACTACTTCAAAATCTGTGGAACTTATGCAACCAAGTAAACAAAATTTATAGTGAATGATTTCAGGGTTTCTTAATTAATTTCTTATTGGCTGATTAGACATGATTCAAAACGTGGACAATTTATTAAAATGAATAGCACTTTATTTTATCAACAAAATAAATAAGTACTTTCTTTTTCTTATGAAGCCAAAATTTAAATAAAAATGGATAGAACATCCCATAATTATTGATGGCTTTGGCTACTTAAAAAAATTGTTAATCAAATTTTGATTATTTAGTGAATACTATGTAATTGAAAATGAAATAGTTTCTTTTTATTAATTTTTTGTAATATACATATATTTATCTTTTAAATAAAACTACAAAACATATTGCACATCAGTATAAACTTTGTTACATTAAAGTACAGAATACAACAAATATTTGATTATTACTTAATATTGAATAACTTAATAATATCATTATCCCTTAATAAGTAGATTGATAAGCAAATAAAGTTGTTATCATGCAATGTAGTGTTATTTACACGACTAATAACAGAAAAAAGCAATAATTTAAACAAAAATGGCACTACAAAATAAATCAAATAACTAAAAAATATTTTTAGGTGTACATATCCTTCACTGATACGTTAATATCCTTTTTTTAGAAGTAGAGTTAAAGATTAATAACTCTTTTTAGATAAGTAAGTATAACTATAATAAATTAGTCTCATATTGGTTGTGCAGTCGAAAAATCGTAGCCGCCTTGGGTGGCTGGGGGTTGAGTGGGAGGGGTTGACCTATCCATGTCTTCATAACTACGGTTACGACCCCCAAAGAGGTCTATACCTACAAGTGATTTCTTTATTGCATTCAAAATTGTGACGTGTGAACCCAAAACTATTTTTACGCGATTTTGATATAAAACGACAAAAACTTGTACTATTTTTTTCATATTTCCAAACTCACTTCAAACAATTTCATAATTTATCGATTGTCATTGAAGTATGTTTTCTTCTTTTTATCATTAGAAATATCCTGAATCAAAATTATAATTAACACAAATACATATTTTTGTCCCAATTTATCTTTATGATTCTTTATGCGAATAATAATTATAATAACAGCGTGTATTATTCATTTTACGAGATTTTAAATGGTAACTTTCAAAATGGGAAATTATGAGAGCCTAACACAAGTTTTGAAATGATTTATTGTATTATTTTTTAACAGTTCTTTTATATTCCAAAGGAATAATACACGTTCTTTCAATCAGTTTTTGTGTGAATTCTTTGGAAATATGAATACCTATCATGTAAAAATAGAATTGGATGTATTCAAATTTTTTGAAAATTTCATTTTCTGCATGTTCCTATTTAAACATAAGCTGATTTATTCACTAGTGCTGATTGCTATATTTTTTTAGAACATTGAACTGAACACCAAGTTAGTAGTTAGTATCACTGTTAGAAAATCAAAGTTAAAGTATATACAAATACTAAACACCTGTTCCACTTCGTTCTTGATGGATTTTTCCCAAAAATATTATCGAAATGGGACGTGCCAATAAATGTAGGATTGCCACTGCAGCTGAGAAACTTTCTCTTGCCCCTAAAAAAGAATAGGTAAAATTTCCATATGGTCTCCACTTCTTTTTTTGAAAGCACCTTTTTCTTGAAAATGGCTTAAAATGGCCTAATCATGAAAAACCTGCATGAAAAAGTCAGGGTGGGAGAAGGGCAGTTACAAAGCAACTAACTAACCTAACCCTTATTTATAAAAGAAATGTTTTAAAACACTTTCCCATTTTTTATGTATATTTTTATTAATTGAGCCATTATAAGCCACTTCCAAGATAAAAGTTAAGATTTCAAAGAGACAGTCATATGAATGTTTAATCTGCACAAAACTATATTCACTTACAATGGTTTGAAGGAAAGCTAAAACACAGCAGTAAAATATCAAGAATAATTGATATTGCATTCATAACAATCCCCTAAAAAAAGTGATATTTAAATCATGGACTTTCATATAATCTCATTAAAAGACTCACTAATTGAATAGGTTCGTCAGATTCCGGGTGATAGATACCCCACAAAAGACTTATTATAAGTATAGAATTGTAAAATAAGTACGCATTAGTTGACCAACCCCCCATACAGGCCAATGAGACAAAAATTACATGAACAAGAAATATAACCTGAAAGATTTTTTTAATTTTATTATGCAAATAATATAAACAAACAATTACCTTAAGGTTTAGATTGCGTACGGACGTTAAATCAGGCATTTTAAATCACAAACTAAAAATTTTAACCCTAATCCAAAATGATTAACCATTCAAGTTATAGTACTTAAAGATCAAACTCAATAAAATAAACTAAATCACAAACTAAAAATTATTTTTCAAACTAAAATTCATATGTCCCGTGTATTAAAACACCATGAATACACAGCTTTTACTAAAAATGAAACAATAATATGCACAGAATATGCACCATTGCACGCACAATACCATAACACAATATTTAGCTCTTTGTTTATCAGTCTATGGCCTATGGTCAGCTGCTTATTTTCCAGAGAGTGTCTCCTGTACGGTCCGACCGTGTTTGTAAAAACTCAAATAAATTTCAGAATATTACAAATTTCAGAAAATAGAATCCGTAACGTCTTCCGCTGTTTAAAATAAAAGTTACTCATGACTCAAAATGTGGTTTTGATAATGTGGTAGCAACAAACATGTAGACAATCTATGATTAATATTATTTATTATTCTTTATTTATAAACTGCCTATGCTGTAAAAAATTTAGTGATAAGCGGAATCTTTATTTGTAACTTTTGCTTATGTTGTACCAGTTGTGCTTTCAGTGTACTCCAACGCATGGCGTATTGTTCATTTAATATATTAATCTTCATTGTCCAAAGGTTCAACACTGTAGTTTTCTGGTGATAAGGGTGTATGATAAGTAATTTATAGTGTAGACGTTTTGCTTCATCGTAAATTATCTGCAAAAAATATAAAAATGGTAAAAAGTTCGTGAAAATTATTGAAAAAATGTTTTCTTTTGTCTGTCAAACGTAAAAATCGTTAATGTTTTGCTGATCCATATCCATAGTCCATATCAGGGTATTCCCAAAAAGTAAGTGAACATACACAGGTACATAGATCGTTGTAAAGATTATGTTTACGGAAATAAAAACGGATAAATAATAGGTATATATGCAAACAATTTGCAAAGCGCAGTATTATGAAGGTAATAGGTATTTAATAATGTAATAATATAGATAACTATTAGATTTTCGAAATTTTAATATGCCTACAATATTTCCAATTTTTTTTCGACTGTAAATAATTTATGGATAGATATTAAAAATCAAAGATTTTATCCCCAGAAAAGCTCTGCTTGACGACTGCTAAGTCAGCGTTATACATATGTATGTTACAGTTAAAACCCGTTTTTAGATAGAACTCATTTTCCCTAGTTAGAACTAGTTTTTACTAAATGCCTTTATGTTTAATGCTTTAGTTAAAACTAGCACCAGAGAAACTAATTTGGGATTGAAAACAAGATATAGTTTTAAAGATATTTATTGAAAAGATGTAGGACACAGAGTCATATACCTAGTAAAGGTAATAATCTTATATCAAAGGAATATTTTAGGGAACATCGACATAAAGTAGTTGCCAAGGTGACAATATTAATTAAAAGTAAATAAAATAAACAAGTCAACAGAATACAACAATAAAATTTGAAAAAGGAATATTGTTAAGGAAAATTGGTTAACATACAATAAAAAGTAATCAAACGACCTTAAAATTAAAAAAGGATGAGCATCTACTTGTTTTTGCAAGATAAACTATCATGGCGTTTGAGTTACAAAGGTAACCATTTTTCTTTGCAGAAAGGGATTCCCCCGCTGTCTCACACTTGTTGAATTAGGGGTGACATCTCGCGACCAATCAGAATAAGTTGAATTTCAACTTAGGTCGGAACAGTTTTATCTGACTCACTTCGGAAAAACGCGTTTTGGCTAGTAAGAACTAGCGTTTTAACTGATATTAAATTTTGAGCGTTAGTTAATTCTAGTTCTAACAAAGGCATTTAGTAAAAACTAGTTCTAACTAGGGAAAACGCGTTCTATCTAAAAACTGGTTTTAACTATAACGTGTATACGGAGGTTTTAAAACAAAAACATTAAAAATTCGAAAAGTAATCGTTTCTCTGTAAATATATTAAATATTACAAGCTGATATTCACCATTTTTCAATTTTATTTCAAGATTAGAAATAAAATCTCCGTGGTAAAAATTACTCAGATCATTTCAAAGGCAACTACTTATTCGCTTTTAGATAAAACTCATGGAGTCATTACTGGAGTGCCCCGTCTGTTACGAAACCATGAAGCCGCCAATTCTTCAGTGTATAAAAGGACATAGTTTGTGTGGAAATTGTTGTGATCCCTCCAAATTGACAAAGTGTCCGACATGTCGTTCTGCTATGTCTACAACTAGAAACTATCAATTGGAACAAATAATAAAACAAATGAAATTAGATTCGAAAGTGAAATGTCCATTTGCCGAAGAGGGTTGTCAATTTGTACTGAAAGCATCCGAAATGCTAGAGCATAAAAAAGAGTGCAGATACAGGATGTTTGAATGCGAAGGAAAAAAATATTGCGGCTGGAACTGCAATTGGACAGGGCCGATTGATAAAATATGTGACCATTTCAAAACTGAACACACTCTCTTAGAATTCAAAGGGGCTTATAAAAAAGATTTGGATCTAAAAGAAAATACCAAACACGTAGCGGCGATAGACTTTGGTAAAAGATCGCACATATTTTGGATGAAAAGCAAAGTTGACGTCGAGAAGGAAAAGTGCTTTTGGGTATTTCAACGTATCGGTTTGGAGAAACAGGCCGCTAATTTTTATTACGAATTCGAACTTTGCGATGGGCCAGTACGAAAATTGAAAGTATCAGAATTTTGTGAGGGCGATGTAAGAGAAGCCGAAGATATATTCAAATCAGAAAAGTGCGTCTCTATACCTTTTAATCTGATAAAAAATTATATAGACAAGAGCGGGAAAATTAATTTTCGATACAGGATAATGAAATACAACAGCGAGCATCCAGTCGCTGCATTACAAGATAAAACCACAGGAAATATTAAGAATGAGAGAGTGTAATCAAAGTAAAACCATTGTACTCTCTTCAACAATTACCATGTTTTCTTCTGTATTAATTATCTTGAATTTTTATAAAATTAATGTATTTTTATATAATAATTGCGTTTTTTCTTGCTTTTTTATGTCGATGAAACGATAAACATTTATTAGCATTTTTTAAAAATATAATATGAACAAATAATAATGCAAAAACTGAATAAAAGTATACATTTACTGCTGAAAAGTACTAAAACAAAAACAAAACTATAAGTGTACCTGCTGAATAGTATTATAATAATATTGTATCGATTGCGAAGTAATTGTAATTAAAAAAAAATAAGTAATAAGAAATAGTTACATAAATACATTTGTATTTTTTCCATTAATGTTATCGTATATTATAGTCTTTATTGTATTTTTATATTGATTTTTTTTATCATTTTTAAAATAAATTTTTATACCCATTTACTTTGATTTGCTTTACCGTTGTAACCGTGTCCATGTGTATTAGTATTAAACTGTTTTTATAAGTTTTATTTCACTTACATCCGCATACTTCAAGATTTATTTGCGGATATTTGTTTCGTTAATATTGTTAAGATAAAGAAC